TCTTGTAATGTGCTTGGATCGCGGATTGGAGTTGTATTAGTCTATTATTACATGCAACCTAAAAGCACGCGCAAAAAAGATATCGATAGTTCTTGTATTTTTAGAAAGTTTTTATAAAGTACAAAAATTTATTTGTACATCGTTAAAATTAAAATATTTCAGAATTATTGTAAAATATTTTTTGCATGTATCCACAATTGTGTAATTTCATTGTTTCAAAGAGAAACAGATCTGATCTGACCTGCTTTTTTTCAATACATCGGTGGCAATCATTGCAACGAATTATCAAGGATGGAAAGCCCACGCAATGTTTTGACCGTAATGAAATTCCTGGGAACTCGAGTGTCGGACAAATGAAGGGATCGAATTGTAATTACGAAATACGGATCGGCAGCTGCGTTTACAATAACGACGATGAGAAATATCGAATTAATCGAGACTTCTGTCGGATGTAATTGGAGCGCGTTTCGCTACAAGCGTAGGCGCTCGGAAAATTTCCTTTGCAATATCTTACCTTACGCGCGATTCATTATTAATGCTACTTTGTCGGTATTAGGATAAGAAAAAAGCATGTAAAGGAAAGAATTGGATGAAAAATCAGAAGAAAGAAATGAGACATTTACATTATTATTCAGTCAGAATCAGTACATGGATCTTTTGTTCATGACAAATACGTTGCTCGCACGAATTAATCTTTTTCCGACGTAAGCATTTTGCTTAAAACAATTATTAATTTTGTGTAATTGGCTGCATGTGTTGGGATTTCCATTAAGCATATTGCACGTTTCAATTTATTTATAAAGAATGTCGCTTAGAGATAGTAGTTGTATTGCTTCGGAATTGTCCTGGAACTTTAAAAAATTATAGTTTGCTAACATACATGATACATGATATACAAGATTCCGCACTTTTGGCATCCATTATACACAAATAATAAAATATTAAAGCCTGATCGATAAGCATGGCGAAAAAGGTTTAAATATTAATTATACGTCCATTTTCATCTTCCCTCAACTGTGCTGCGTGCCGAAGACTTGATAATTGATCATTAATCGTTAATGACATCATTAAATAGCGTATGCATTATTTAAGGTAATAAAATTCATAATAACAAAGAGAAACAATTATACTACTTATGTGTTAAAATTAAAATTTATTGACATTTTTGTCTTTTACTCTTTTTCGCATTCTAAGACCCTGCGCACAATAAAGAAAATATTAGGAATAAGAATAAATATTAAATATTAAAAGTAGAAAATTATTTTATTTCAAAACAAGAAAATTAAATGGATTAACGTATCATGAATTAGGAAATAAGAATAGAAATAATTAATCCATTCCGTTCTCTTGTTTGAAGTAAAATAATTCCAAATATTTATTCTTATTCTTAATATTTTCTTTATTGTGCGTGCGGCCTAACGTCTCATTCAAACGTAAATTATCACATTGCTAGGTAAATAAATTGGAAAGACTAGCGCAAAAGGAAAAATGAGAAAAAAGGGCAAGAATTAAAAAAAAGTACAAAAGTTCCACTTTGTAACATTTCCTTCGGAAAGAGAACATAAAGAGAACATAGTAATGAAGAAAAACTTTTTTCTACACACTTCCGCAGAATAAAGTCGATAAAGAGATGAAATATGTCAGAAGATCGGCATCGTTTGCGCGGAGCGCAGTATGCGCGCCGAGAGAAGACGACCGATAACGAGGATAATATTCGATCTGTCGGAGACATCCGCCGTTCGCCGATAACGGCTATGGTAACGCTTCTTTTCTACGTGACGTCGTTTTTTGTCAGTGGCGTTGTGAGCCGAGGAATTAAAGGTTGAGCTGGGGTATTCGATCGGACGATGGTCCCGAGCGAGATTGCACGGTTAGGCGCAAAGGACGATAATGGGGGAGAAGAATCCGGGTCTTCGTGATCGAGCAAAAATAAGCGTCGAAAGGCGAGCGGAATCTTGAGGGAGAGATTAAGATCCGGGTCGCGCCACAAAAATCATTCTGTCCCGCCACTTGATAGATCTGTTTTCGAAGCGCCCCGCCGTATATACAATTGAGAAACGAATGTATTCTTATTGGCAAAAATATGAAGTGGAAAAGACGTAAATACCAGATTTCAATTCTACCCCTGTAATCCTTACAGAAGTGATCCGGGTCGACATTTTATATATCTTGCAAAATACATGTAATACACGACCCACAGGATTGATCAGAAATTTCGCTGAATTAAATGGTAACAATCTAATCAGATGTTGGATAGAATTATTAAACTGTCTAAGTGAAACTCGCATTATTTACGTCGTCAATTTGTAAACTATATTTCTCGCTAACATAATAATGTTTCAATACATTTATTATTCTAGAGATCGTGTAAATATTTTTTTCGCTTCTGATTCGTTTCGTCGATTAAACTATCCTGAACGATACATGAGACGCGCATATTCATGTAGAGTGAAAGAAGATACACAAATCCGAGAGGATACGCCGGCAGGTCCAAAGAAGGCAGGAAGATCGAGGGGTGTAACTTCCCATTCGTTCCGTCGGAATGTGTGGTGTTTAGCATTCGCATTCGATATTGCTGCCTCTTCGTCGTTTGTCCGGCCTATGCGAAGATGGAAAACGAGATGGATAAATTGTGTGAAGAGGAAGAAGGCTGGAAAGTTGCGGAGAGAGAAAGAAGGAAGAGAAAGGGAAATGGTTTGTTAGATGGTCAACGAGAAAGAGAGAGAGAGAGAGGAAGAAGAGACAGAAAGGAAGAAGAGGACAGAGAACGGAGAAAAAGGCCTGGTCTCGCTGGTCTACTTGTATAGATATACATGCACGCATATGTAGAGGAAGAATAAGAGAGAAAAGGAGAAAGAGGAAACAAGGTGAAACGTGGAAGGGATGTATTCGTGCCGCAACCATCAGGGCCGATCAAAAGCTTGCTGGTGCCCTTGTTCGGATTTGAAATACAGAGATAAAATACAAAGCGTCTTTTTCGGCACATGGATGCGAACAAACGATGTCTGATAATTGCATGGTAGCGTGACATTGAAACAGAAAAGCGGTCGAATAGTGATTTGACTGAGAAAAGAGCCACCTTTCGTTCTAATGGTTGAAGATTTTGCTGGAGCGGATCATGCTAGCATTTATGCACTTGCGAGTTAAAGAGAAGCAGAATAGACGAGGAAATGAGAGAAGAAAGAAATGATTTCGTGCCGGAACTCTTAGGAATGTCAAGATTCTATTGAATCGTGCATGAGTGTGGAGAAGAAATGTTAATAGTCAAATGTCCTAATTAGGATCTCTAAGCAAATTTTATTATGCAATTATATGCCAATAACGAAATCGATAGCCATTTGAATACAATAGATCAATTATGCTGAACTCTGATAAAGAATTGAACATTGAGAAATCGTTGCGGTCTTTAAATTAGCAATCGATTTCACAATTAAATATGAAGTGCTTAAATTTCGCAATATCGATATCACAAAAGTAGATGTTTACTAATGAAATGTTAGAAGATATTAGTCATACCGGTATTTGCATAATTTCACTTTAAGACATCGAATAAATGTTTTTGTCATTGGATTAGTTGGCATTAACAGTTAGTAGGTTAATGATATTAACGCCAACTTTGACCCCGTTCCAAAATTCGTTGTGGAAGTTTCCAACTCTTGCGTACGCTTCCTTATTCAATAATGCACGGAATTAATATCACGAATAACGTGAATAAATAATCATGAATATTACTTGCATGAATTTATAAATTTATACGAATGCGATAAATTATTATTTTTTAAAGAATATAAATTCTAACTGTGTCATGTTATATGATTCCAAATTTAAATATATAAAAATGTGCGATAATACAGCAAAAATTAATTTCTGAAACTTATTAAATAAATATAATTGAATGCTCTGGTAAATTCTGAAGTAATATTTATCATATAAGTATTTATTGAATAAAATTATTTTTTTTGTTTTAAAAAGAAAACAACATATTTCAAGACTTCACGATATCAGACTTGTATTTTATAGATCGATAAATTTGACAGAGCACACTCCAATATATCTCCGCGCGCGTAACGTATACTGTCAGATATATCTTTATTTGTGTTTACCGGCGCGTTTGCGTGACATTACAGCAAAATAATTATTCCAATAAAGAAACCACGTTCTCCGATAAGAGATATCGACGCGAGATAGAAAATAAAAATGGAAATACAGTGAGTAAAAAACTTTGGCCGCATATCCCGATATTAAAACACTCCATTTACCGGGGCTGACCTACATATCTTTATTCGCATTTTTACATAGTCGTTCAGCAAAACCGTGTTTTCCGCGGCTTGAAAGTCATTTTGGAAAAGAAAAACAGAACTTTCGGCGAAAAAAAGGTGAAGTCGCAGAAAACCGCGACAAACAGTTGCGAGAGAATTAAAAGAGAATTGCGCTACAGTGAACTAAACAAAAGGATTGAGCAAGAAAGGTCTACAGGTTAAACACGGGAATAACGATGTATAAAGAAAATCAAAACCATCGGGTTTGGTCGTGCCGTAGCTCCGATACTGGCATCCGCCACGTTCGCTCGCTCATTCTCCCATTCGCCCTCTCGTTCGCGCATTCATCCGGCGGACGAGAGAGAGAGAGAGAGAGAGATCACACACGGCATGCTAGCGGGAGGGGCTCGGAGAATGCGAGCGAAAGAGAGATAGAGAGAAACCGCGACGCGAACTGAAGAGAGATCGAAGTAGATTGCGAGAGAACGGAAAGAGATGGATAGAGAGACCGAACGCTGCATAACGCTAGTAGACGGGGAAAGGTGCAGCGCGGGGGTGCACCGAACCATCGTGAGATGGAGAGTAGGGATGGACCACGGCGGGTCGAGTCGTCGGCGCGAAATGGTCGGTGGGACGCGCGGGAGCATGAGAGGGGAGCGCGCGCAAGTGGAAGAGAGATGGCAGTAGAGGCACGGCGGAACGGCCCGACCGACCGACCGACCGTCCACCAGTCATCCGTGCTCCGTCGTAGCAGTGAGATCGCGGTGGAACGTTCGCTCGGTGCGGTTATATGCGCGCGACGCCGACGACGACGGCGGCGACGACGTCGTCTGATAGTTTGCACGCGGCGGTGTTCGCGGCGACGCGGCGACGAAACGAGACTCGGTTTCAACGGCGAGGATTCGCGAGGCCGCGAGCACCAGGCCAGGCATTGGGTGTAGTAAGCGCTTCGTGCACACGTCCTCTCGTCTTCCGCGTTCCTGCTGGAGCGGCGAGGCGTCGACTGGAGTAACTTGGGAGCCGGCAGCGAAACGGGTGCGGGAACGGTGAGTGCTTTATTTATTTGTTTGTAAAAAGGCTCGGGCGCGCGCGAGCCTAGTTGCACCGATCGGCCGCAAGTCACATGATCTTTTGTGTCGCCTATCGCTCCGAGGCGCGCGATACCGTTAGACAGTTTCTCTCTTTCTCTCTCCGTGGCCGTGACGCTGATTTCAGCTGCAATCGTGAAAGGTTTCTCGCCGTGTTTTATGATTGCGGCTAAGTTCCCGCATAGATTGTGTCTTTGGGAAAGAAAGGGCTTGTTCTACATGTAAGGTTACGTGATGTTCCGCAGCGCGAAGGTCAAAGAGTCGCATTGCTTCGTGGAAATGCTGTTGCAAGTTCATATCTGGGTACATATAAGGTATTGTTTACGTCGCAGCGGCGAAGTCGCACGCGCTCTTCCATGTTTAAAGTCACGTGACGGTTAGAGTCACGAGACTCGCATCACGTGCGTCGGCCTTCACGCGGGATACCTCGTTAATTTTTGAGTTATTGCACGCACATATGTATAATGTTTAACATAATCTTTTTAGACTTAGTATTTATTTGCACATACATATTTGTCTCTTTTTTAAATATCTCTTCTCATTTTCCGTTTCTTTTAACATAATTTTTCAAGATATGCTTTTAATATTAATGTTAATATTATAAATCTAAGATGTTGCATAAGAATATATAAGGATGAGAAAAAAGTAAAATTCGTAATAAACGATATTATAAAGAGTAGCAAGAAATAAGGAAATGAAAAAAAAGGCGGAAATAAAATACAATTACAAATACTTCATTACATTGTACACTTTATTATGTACTTTGTCAATATTAATATATCGCAAGTAGTAATATTCTTTATTACGAGCTTCTTTAGAAAGCAATATACGAGAAAAATATAAAATCTAAAAGTAATGAGTAAGCATAAAGAAAAGGAATAAACAATTTTCAAGAAATTAATTAAGAATTGGATGTGTAACTTCTGGCATCGACATTTTTAGTTTATATATATATATATAATGCTTTATTCCTACATCTTTTAATTATACTTTCAAAATCTAATATCTTTTTCTTCTTAGTTGACAATTCTTGACAATTTTTCATTTTTTTTTAAATGAATTTATTTACGAAAGTCATAATGGCTCAAATCTCATGTTTCTCGGTGTATCTCAACCAGTTCCAATTAATTCGCTCATCGAAAAATATCCATTTCTCCGGAGGGAGAGCGAACACGGCTACCCCCGCACGAGTTTCATGGAGCGATGTTAATTTGCAATGCGGTGTTTACCGATCGTGAACGCGTGGTTGGCCAAGAGAAAATAAATTCGTCCGTAAATGCAGGCACACCAATCTCTTTATTGCGGCTGCGCGTGTATTTTTCGGGATTCGCGATATATGCGATTGGGAAAGTAATTTCGTTCGATTGCATTTACCGAGGTGGAACGTTTCCGATTGCGACAATAATCACGACTCTTCCTCGCGATTATCCGCATCTCTGGACACTGTACTAGGAATATCGATGTTCAGTAAAAAAGTGCAGAAAATGTATTAAAATTGTATTTCCAAATAAATCTGAAAATAATTTTTGCATAGTAAAAATTTTTTGGAAATGATTGAATATTTCGCAATTAAATTTGAAATGAAAATTTTACTTAAGTACATTTGAAATTGCCAAAAATATATTTTCTTCTTTTCTTTTTTTATTGATTAATATTAAAATTTAACTTAAAATTTCAAATTGATTTTAAATCCTGTAGTTTAAAAAAAGTGAGTCACCGTTTAAATTTTCTCATGAGGAAAGTTGTTCATCGAGAAAATATGTTTCTGTAGTTTCACATGCAGACTTCACGGAACATCCTGTATATCCGGCGTTCTCTATCTTAACAAGCTGGTTGAATCAACCGGTTTTTGCTTATGCTAGCCAAGCATTTTCTCGTTACGATGAACTACGGTCGTACCTCGGCAATATCTGACCGCAGTCGCTTCCTGTTACAAGAACGACCTTGGCATCGCTTCATTTTAATAGATTGTTGTACGACGTATCGAGATTTATTTTCATTACTAGATTTTACTGAATTTAGAGGAAGGGAGAGATAGAGATAAAGAGAAATTTTAAGTATCAGAAGAAAATTCAACGTAATGTTAAATTCAAGTAATCTTTAACACATGACTTTTTTTTTAGTACATTCGATATAATATCGCAAGAAAATATATCATTTATCAAAAAATTCGGCGCATCTCAAAGGAAACCGTCTAACAGTTAAACTTTGCATATGCTATGTTAATGAGAAGGTAAAGAAATGATAATATGAAAAAGCAAGAACGGTTTATTTAAGAAAATTTGTGTTTGAACTTAGAATTATTTTATCAATATTTTTGACAGTATAAATTATTAAAATAGCTGTTTTAATTTCTTCGGTTTTGTTATTGCGTAGAATTTGCATCGGATAGTTTGCATTGACGACACCGTTTTATTTTCATATTCGTAATACATTATTGATGAAGACGTACAAAGTTTCACACCACGAATAATATCGTCTACAATAGAACGGCTGCGTTTCACTTTACCATATGAAAACGCTTGGTGTAATATTGAGATGCGTGTCAGTGATACCCTTTCGCTGTTTCGAGAACTAAAATCTGTAACGAGATATGTCAGACGGTTTCTGTACATCGAAGGCGAATTCATCTCAGTGTTGTTCCATTAACAATGCGTCGCAAATATATATGCTCGAAAAATAGATACGTTTGCTTTGTCCGTAGCCAGAAATTTTTCCTGAAAAACATGTGTATCCTCTTTACTGATCGCGCATCTCCATTAATGTCCATTAATAATCCGTAATCGACCTATTATTTTTTGAACTGTCCCATTTTGTCGGCATTGTTTTTAATGTATCCACAGATTTTTGTTTTGTTTTTGTAACGCCATGGCCGCTCGGAAAGCGTGTTAATTTCTGTATCACGCTGAGCATCGAATGCGAAATGAGGATATTAAATTTTGCATTGCACGAAAGATACAAAGATTTATGAGAAATATTAAAGAGTTTCGAAATAATGTAAAAAAAAATAGCTTTTACATTTTTTTATGTTTGTTCAAAAATTATTAAGATTGTTCACCGCAATGATTGGTTTGTGTTTCTTTTAATGTCCGGCACGAATGAAATTGCGATTGAGGTTAAATTTTTGGTAAATCTGGTTGAAATTAACTAGAGAACAAAGTGTTAAGGGCGCAGGATGTACATACTCCACCTTTTCAAATAAATATCTGCAACTCCGAGCTGGCACTCGGGGAATTCCGCGCTGCCCGTTTTTCTCTGAAACCAACCGTCCAACTTTCGAATCGTGCGCTATATCTTCATTACTCTCTATTACGTCGCATAACCGGTCATCCAGCACGACCTCCGTAATTTCACTGTAACTCAAATATAACTAAATGTTAACTCAAATGTTACATTAGTTAAAAACACAAGTATAAATTGTTCTCCAAAATTTTGTATTCTCTCAAATTTATACCTCCGCAAATTTGTGTCTTCGTAATGTTTGAGTATAAAATAGTAATTTTCGCTAACAATATGTAGCAATATATTATTACATTGTTCTAGCAATATTTTTTATTAAATATAATTTTGCAAATTATACTTTTGTGAAATTGAAGGATATTATAAATCCTACAAGTGAATCGTTGAAAGAATAACATGGACAATTAAGATACTAATTAATTAATGTGCAGTTAAATAATATTCACTGATTTGTCGATTTTGTGCATCAATGTTAGAAGTAAATACGCGGAATTAAATTTTTAAGCTGAAATATTGAAATTAAATTTTGAATTAAGATTCCATTGATGTAAAGTATATTTGTGTTTATCGACTTCTCGATCCCTCGGTCGCTGGATGAAAAGCACCACGAGGCATCGTCGAGGCCGCGCGGTCAGGTAGAACTCAGGTACTTTGAGGTATCTAAGATGGGTTCGCAGTGATCATTTTCCAGCGCGGAGGTGGTCATTATACTCGACGATAGATCCCGCGCGGCCTCTCTCGTCTATTTCCGTTCGACCGTTGATTCGTTTTCGTCGTTTCAATGAAATATTCGCCGACGAAACTTATATAACCGACTTGAGTGACCCTTCATCGCCTCCTTCTACCCCACGAATGGCAGTTTTACCTTCTTTTATCTCAAAATTTAAAAGAGAGCCGTTGCTGTCGTCTCGGCTGGTCGGTCGCGCCGGCTCGGCTATGAAGAGGATGAAACGACAAAGAGAAGCCCGACACAAAGTGCGAGAGGATTGCGAGAGAAGGGAAAGGCTGGTGTCAGGGATGAAAAAGGGGGTGGGTTGGGGAGGGTAGAGGGGGGGAAGGGTTAGTTGGATAGACGCGAGTTGGCTTAAATTTAATTCACTTCTCTAGCAACCCTTTTCTATTCTCTCTTTATCACGGGAGCGACTTCTATGGCGGGATGGATGGAAAAAGGGGGTAACGAGGTTGGTGGAAGACCAACTCGCGAATGCAATTTCCTCGAGGTACGAGCTGGATGTTCCTGCGGGTTTGCGACTGTCCAGGCCGACCAATGTCGGATCCTTTTTCCGGCGGCTGACTCGCCCGGAAGGTCCTTTGAACGTGACGATAATGCGAACCTGCGAGCACCTCATTTCACTACGAGAGTTTATAACGGGTGGACTAATAATGCTCGCGCGGGGGGCTGTAGACATCGTCTGAGTATGATTCTCGCTTCCTTGGATGGTGAAATGGATTGAAACTTAACAAGTTCTCGGAATCTTGCAAAATGATTCGCTGTAAGGAGAACTGCGATGAACAGAGCGCGTTCAGAAACATGAGCGATGCAGAGAAAATTAGATTAGATATAATATTACAACAATTGCAAACATAATAATGTTCACGAAATTTAATTTCCATTTCAACAGAATAAAAGAGAAAAATGCGAGAGTAAATTCTAAGGATTCTATAGATAAAACAAGATTTAATTCTAGCAGATATAAACAAATTAATAAAATACTTTTTTCGATTATTATCAGAGAATAAGTTTTAATGCGTCATTTTTAATTAAAAAATACTTTTATTCATATAAATAATACAATATATAAATGTAGTCATACAATATCCATTAGCAATTGAGTGATAAATTATCGAAATGCGTTGGGTAACAAGCAGAAAATTTATTATCTCATTTTACGATGCAATCGCGTGATGATATAGTAGCAAAAAAAAACGGTCTCTTTCGAACAAAATTTTCAATATATTAAAAATGCGAATATATATACATTCGATTTAATCATGCATAATTGATGGATAGCGCGTAAATCATACAGCGTAGCAAAAATGTGTTTTATGTAAGAGCTTACGAATCGCGACGGATTAATTGGACAGTACGCCACATTAATGACGCGCCTCGTCAAGAATCATGTAACAACGTTGCGCTTGCTTCCTGCGATTTTGATTCTGCCGACGTGAAGCAGCCGAGCGACTGTATAAAAAATTAGCTCTGATTCATAACGGGAAATCGGGTCACGTTGTACAACGAATGCAATTTCGGTCGGATACGAGGCGAGGACTATTCCGCTGAGCCGACGCGGATTTTGCCGGGCCGAATTCTTTTTTTTTCTCCATATGAAAATGCTGACTGCGCGGAACGTTCCACAAACGTGACGATAATGCAAAGTACAAATCCTTGGTAACATGATGCATCGTTAACGATGAAGAATGGATGTTATGAAACACGATGAGACGCACGCGATATCAATATTTTCAGCGGTCTAGTAGATTTTGACACGTTGAAGCACGTTGATTTTGAACCATCGACTTTCCCTTGTAATTGTTTTAAAACTACTATCGATCGTAGTTTTAAAAGTTCCCCGGCTCTTCTCGTGAAGTTAATATAAAAATTCATAAATCAAAAACTGACCGACATCTCAGGCTTTTAGTGAGCGCGCGTAGTGTACTACATAGTGTACCGAAAGTTGTTTTTGAGATAAATTTTTCGTGATGATCGCCCGGCACTTTCGACACATAATTCATAGTTTAACTTAAATTTCGCACAGCGAAGTATTCAAGTTGAAAATTTTTAACCGGTAACTTTGACTAATCAATTTTCGTCGACATCATTTTCAGCTCGAGACCTGTTCTGAAGGAGGCATCTCTTGCCTCTAAGCGCGGACCTTGGCGGGACACCTCATCATTCGTCTCCTGCGGTGCTCCCAAGAGAAACGATGCGACGCCCGATGACGTGATCGACCTCTCGGTCAGCTACGCTCGCCGTGACCTCGTTCGGCTAGCTGGCCATTCACTTGACTTTTCGTTGCTCGCACTAAAATCGAAGAGCGGAACGAGGCACTGAATGAAACAAAATTGAGTGCCTCGTTTTTTTTCTGTTTTGTTTTCGGAAGAGGAATTGAGAGACGACGAGAAGATTTTTACGGGAAAAGGCATCTCCCGAAACATCCGATTTGTTGATGCTCGAAATTAGAGAGGATGTTGTGCGAGAAGACGTCGAAAGCATGAGAACATATCTGCGACGACAGATCGTACGCGCGACAGGACGAAGGGCGAACGATTGAGATGTGCGGCAGACGGATCGTACGTCGCATGCTTTGCTGACATCCGAAGAAAGGGACACAGGGAAACGGAATTCCGAAGGTATGACAGACCCGCAAAGAGCGAGACAGACTGACGACGGTGGCGCGAGTCACTGAAACGTGTCGGTGGAAAAATTCCACGCCGGCGAAGCGCACGCTTCCGCTACACTTGAGAAGGGAACAAGCGGAAAGACGATCCATCAGTAAGAAACAACGTACGCAACGATAAGATTATCTCGAGCTGATTATCAGAAGAAAGAACGAGATGTGAAGATATGAAAGTATCTATCGGCCGAATGGAACTACAAAAGTGGACGGACGAGGACGATCTTCGCGAGGATTTGAGAGCAGATCGCGCGCGAGATCTCTCGTCGAGCGGAAGAATCGGAAACAATCTGAAATCTGACGAGAATCTACAGGCTAACTCATTGGAGTAAGAAATATAGAACATTCTACGAGAAACAGAGAAAGAGAGAGAGAACGATGTCGATTCTCCGCGGTGCTCTTTGAGGCTGCCGCGCCTGAATCGAGAACGGCCTCGCGGTCAGCGTGGGAGAAGGTCGCGTTGGATGTCCGCGCGGCGTGGATATCCTCTAATCGGGAAGGTCGTTCGCGATCGCCACAGTGACCGCGCGCGACGGCCAGCATCTCCGGCCGCGACGTTATCATCGTCAGGATCATCATCGCGTCGCTTTCCCCACCCGTGACGGCCACATGACTTGACGATCGCCCCCTTCTCCACCCGCTGCTGCTCCTCCCCGAAGACGACGGCGGCGGCGGTGGTGGCGACGACGTCACTACGACGTCGACGTGGACGATAGCGCGACGAGGAGTCAACGGCTGACAACGCGGCGCGGCACGGCGGCGGCAGCAGCAGCAAGTTCAGTCTTGCTTAAAGCGAGTGACACGCGCTGTCGGCGATTCAGTCAGTCGCCGGCGGTCGATCTGCAGGTGTGAGACGAGCGTGGGTGTCTGTTTGGTGTATTCAATAGTTGCGCTCCTGGATCGTCGTCACGTGCGCATATGCGCATTGTCCGCAGAGGAAGAAGGTTCCGAGTAAAAGAATACCCCGAAGGGTCGTCCGAGAAAATAGAAAGCGGCGAGGGAATTGAAGAGAGCGCGTAAAAAGTTGTACCTGTTCGGGACTGTAGATCCTTCCTATTTCGGGCAATCGTGGTGCGTCGTGACGATCGTAGTGTTCCTCGTGGTGGCGCGGTGTTACCGTTGTGTCACTGCTACAAGCGACGGAAACGGTGGCTACGGTGGCGGTGGTGTTGGTGGTGGATATATATATAGTGGTGGATGATAGCGGTGGCCCGCGAGGGCGGCAAAACTGGAGCAGCCGGTGACGATCGTCGTCGTCGTCGTCGCTGCAGCGGAGGAGCTATCATGTGCACGCGGCGGATTCTCGGACTGGCGGTCGTGGCCCTGCTGACTCTCGGCGGTCGAGCGCGCGCGTACACCAACCAGTGGGCGGCACACATCGATGGAGGAGAGGAGGTGGCCAGGCAGGTAGCCGAGGACTACGGCTTTCGCTATTTGGGCAAGGTCAGTGCCGCAAGCCCGTTTCCGCACGCGTACGATGGAACTGGGTCTTTTTATCTTTTATTATCCGATTATTGAAACCGCACGCTTTTTTTTAGCGCAAAAAAAATCTTTTGCATGACTAAACTAATCGGGATTACGTTGCTGATTTTTGCCTGAAACGGATGTCCGATCCGATTGCCTTCCGTGAGCTCGAGCGCTATTCTTCAATTAATCGACCGATAAAATGAAATGAAAAGATTATGAGGTTTGATTATTGGCGAATAATGGATGTTATTAAAACATGGCAAAATTGATTCGGTTACGTTTCAACTCGTGTAACACGATGCTCTCTGAATCCGATCAATTAACAGTACAGTTAATAAAAATAAAAACACGCAAGTGTTTATTAATTGATTTGTTGAGAGTCAAAGTATTGTGTCGCGTGGAATAAACAAGATTTACCACAAAGTTGAATTATACAATGCGTTCAAGATGAGGCAGGATGGAATTTAATGGCACTTTCTTCCAGGCAACAATCAAATAAACGATCTACGCCATTTAGTCGTTCTGGCGACTCGATTAGTATACAACATCGCGGTTAAAATTACGAGATACATTCACTTGACTTTATCAATGGTAATTTTTAATGCAAATTTAAATTAGACAGTTCTGTTCTCGTACGAAGAGAATGGAATAATTCGATATTTGCGATGAGAGAAAACGGCTTCGTGCTTTAATTAACTACTATTTCAATTATTTGAGAATCAAGAAATATGGAGATTATCCAAATTAATCTTTCTTATAAAATGAATTAAATGTGCGAATTGAAGATATTTAAAGAAGAAATATATCTTATTAATATAGCCGGAAGCCAAATATGCAATTAATAATTGTTAAATGTGTTTTTCGATAAATTTGTTTATAAATATTAACTTTCTTTCCAACGACGATATTTCAAAGAAAAATGTAATCTTCATCAGAGATTACTGCTATAATCTACAAATTTTATTTCCATATTCTTATTTGAAAAAAAAAAAATTGAGAAATATATATAGAGAGATTTATTTCTTTCGCTTTTCGATAACATAAAGGCCTCAAAGGAGACCTTCGTATTACGAGATAGCGTTTGAAGTCGAAAACGAAGAGCTGAACCCAATACATTTCCCACTGATAAATCTCGTGCGGGATCTGTACTCTGCTCTGAGTTAAATAGTATAAGCCTGTATATATCTCCAAATTGAAATCCTCATGGAGCTCTCTATTATTTTATTCGGTTCCGCCTGTCGATACGATTCTCATCCTAAATGAATGCGATTGACAATTTCATTATTTTTGTTGATTCGACAAAGCGTCAGCTTTATTTTCCATTTCTTTTCACGCAGAATCAATTTTTGATAGCATATGAATATTATCATTATTATTCTGGATTTAAAGGAAACACTGAATTCAAAATGCTGAATTCGAAATCGGGACATTCGAATCTATCGCCGCCGTGTTTTTCGTGCCTTTTTGCATTCATCACAATGGAAAAATTCCTCGTTGCTCGCTCATGTCGTTTCATCATGCCTTTTTTTTTACCGCGGCACGCAATAACGACGGAAAGATCCGCATAGTGCATTTCGTTAATCCGTCATGTAATAATCCCGGATTGCAATTTGTCCGGAAAATTATATAACTCCATTCGAAAGAGAGATTTGGTTTTTAGATCCCGATTTGCATCTCCATCGTGACTTCGATTTAGCAATCAAAAATCGGTAGTATGCAAAACACACGATGGATTTGCTTGGGTGTATTTTATAATAATACTTTTGGAAAATATTTTACAAGTAAAATTTATCAACCTATGGAATAAAATTAAAATCTCTGGATTTTTGACATGTTTTTAAGGTAAAATTACAGAATATCAAGCGTAGTTTGCGTTGTAAAATTCTTAGTGAAATTTAAAATTCCGTACTTGTGGAATTGAACACAAAATTATTCGGAAAGTTCTGTGGACAATCCAGTGCGTTACAATTGTGTCGCCTACCAGACAAGATAATGATTCAATCCTGATTATAATTGAGTCTTCTCGAGAACAGCCGATCGCGCACGCTGACGTAAGCCGCGATGACGTACGCTTTTGTTTCAGTGACCGTGAAGGCCGCGATGTAGATTCTACTGTCGCAGTTATCGAAGATAAAGCGGACACTATGTGTCTGCGGAAATTAACCACCGCGACAATCTCCTTTCTGCCTAAATAACTCGTCGCGGAGAATCGAATTCGCTATCTTCGGTTTCCACGTCGGTTCTTCTTCAATCGAGTCCAATCGCGGTGGACTCCAATTTGGGAAGCCGCGCACGGCGCTTCGCCGAAATCGTCGATGAAATATCGTGCTCGCGATAAGACAACCCAGCCGGGAATACCGCGAATATCGAGCGTGGCTGGAAAGCTTTTGTCTGGGAGTTTTTTGATTCTTTTAGTATAAATAGAAATTACGTTTATAATTTTATTTTGATTCTATTTAACCTCAACATTGAATCGTTTTGTCGTAGAGGTAGAACCGGTTATACTTAGAGGAAAAAGGATAAACATATATCCTCGTAGTTAATTATATGGCGAAAAGTTTGAATCAATGCGACAAAATATCTTGAATTAATAGTCACCAAGCCGGAGCATACTAAAAAAATTAGGAAAATTTTTGAGTAAAAGACTAAGAATAATATTTTAAATAAGAATTATTTTATATGTTGATTAAGCAAATACTTTAGAGCAATGTAATGTTTTATGATTAATATCTAAACTTTAGTTCAATCAAAAACTTTAGTTCAAAATCAAAATTTTCCAGTTATTGTTTCCGGATATTATTTATAACAATTTTCTAATAATTGTTTCTGGTTCTGTAACTCGTGTTGGCTATTCATTTGTAATGTGCAACAACAGAAGTATCGATAAAGGCTAGTAATTAGCGCGTGCTGATATCGGTAATTTTTAGCATTGAAATAATAAACAGGATGTAGCAAATAAGGGGAGATAAGCACATACGCGTACATCTCGGCGTTGAAAACGCGCTTCCGCTCGAACTAGTTCGCGAAAAATCTACACTATTTGAGTGACTCGCCCGATCGCGTTTTTTTAATTTTTTTTTCCTTTTTTTCTCTTTTTTTACTGTGCATTGCACTGACACGTGGATGACGCGTTGTTGCATCGATGGGCGAACAACGCTCATCACACTGAGTTCGCACGGAATTTCGCTGTAACGTGAAATCGCGTTCGCAGCCGTAACGCAATAAACAGAATTTTAAAGCGAGAATTCATGGAATTGCAAAATTTTAGTCGTATTAATCTCTCTTGCGGAATATGGGGACACCCGGGTTTTCCGTGTGTCAGCTGTTCCGTTACGCGTTCGAAGTAGTCTCGTATGTTTGCCGATTAAATTTTGCAAACGCTTACAATCACTTACGAAACGCTCGTCGATCGCGGACCCGCGTTTATGAATACCCCGATAATAGGACGAATACATGTTGAGCGCTCTTCTGCTTTGGCACATATTGATCTTTCGTTACGTTTCGTGAACTGCGTAATATTTCGTGCGAAAAGGGATAACATATCTCGAATATTTTTCAAGACAGAAGCAACAACTGCATAAAATTCATACATTAAAGATGTATAAACAGCATCGTAGAAACAGGATTCGTAGAAACAAAACAGGAAAATGTTGAGGCAAAACATTGATGTGTTATATAATTGCATACCATTTTTTTTCACATACAGATAATTATGATTAAGCGTAATTTATTTTCTTCGCTTTTTTTGCTCGGATCAATAAGTCAAATTAAAGTTTTCTTGAAATTAACACGCCTCAGTTTATCTTGGAATTTTATCCTTGTTTGTTGATTAAATACGTAAAAATGACGCGCGCTGGTTTAGATTAATACTTTTTAACTTCTTCAGCGAAACTGGATCAATCACAATCTGGTTTTGCAATCCGCATTGTGTACAATCAGGATCAAATCGAAATAGAAAATCGGTGGTAGATAAGACCGGCGAGATACGCCAGGGGAATGATTCGGTCGCCAAGATTCGTTTCGGCGATAAGATAAGTTGAGCGTTCTTAGAAAGTCTCTGATTCGCCGCGCTTTTCAGACTCTTCCTCGGTTTTTCTTCGTTTCCTTTGCCGTGTCAAGGCAAAGAACTCTCGTGGAATGAATCTTTTCCGGACAGAGCCGGATAAATAAAAGTGATTTTTTTTAATTGCGAAATTACTTTTTCTCGGAAACTCGTCAATTTTATTTTACTTAGCGTCCGCAAAACTTTCGATCTAGTTTTTAGACGAGAGATCCCTTCGGAGCGTTTTCGTCGGATTTTATCTAGGAATGGCGTAATTATTCTTGCTTAGCTCGCTCGTAGACGAACGATTCTCTTTGAAAGAAACCACTGAAGAAGCACTGTCGTGTTCTTGCTGTACTTTGAGCGCACATGTGAAGTTCTGAGAGTATCCAAAACAATTACTCGGAGCTTTGTCGACGGTACTTTCTTCCTGTATCTTATTTGGCTTCCATCATGCGGAAGCATTTCATTTTCATCAAGCTTTGTCGGCAGTCCAGTCAAAGTAAAATAATACAAAGCGACGTAATCATTATTGAAGAGTAACAGTAATATAAGTCTTGGGTAAAAAGTAACTTTTGTAATTTTTAATAAAATTTGATAAACATTCGCTTGGATTCAATTTTTTTGCACTCGCGTGTATAATTAGATATTTTTATTTTATAATAGCACTTTTGATATTTTATCTTACACATCGGATATAATAGCGACTCACATATTTGATTTTTGCACTTATTATAATTCTGAAATAATCTATGTATTTCTATTTGCTAAAATTTCTATATATAGAATATTTCATAATTACGCGAGTACAAAGAAACATTGAATATACAAGTTAATGTCTATCAGATTTGATTAAAAATGATAAAAATTGTTTTTTGTTCAAGAATTATATTACTGCTATTTCTATACCTCTAGAATACTAAATATCTCTTTA